TAGATGTATCCTTTTAGGCAGTTTATAACTAATAGGGGTATGGTGGGTTGGGTATAAATTCAGAGTAAACTACTCATGTCCAAACCCTGGATCCACCCCTGCAGGAGAATTCATTCCTGATCCAAAGGATGTTATACACATTAAAATTAGTCCTGAAGAAAATGTGAAAATAGAGAAGAAATATGTGAGAACTGATGGTAAAGTAGAAGTTGAATTCATGGCTAAAGTAGCTGGTCARYTGACAGCAGAGGTTCAAGTGAATGGGAATCATGTATCTAACAGTCCACTAGTGGTGAATGTCAAGCCACAAGAGATGAAAACAACAGGAAAGTTTAACATGAAATTTAATTTAAGATCTAGTAGCTTGAGAGGTATAGCAGTAAACCGAGACAACTGCAGAATCGCTGTTGTAAATTGTTCTTCTCATTGTGTCCATGTATTCACCTCTGATGGAGATCTCTTACTGACGTATTGTAGTCCAGGTAGAGCACAGGGACAGTTGTCTAATCCTGTAGGTTTATCATTTCTGAATGATACAGATTTAGTCATAGCAGACCATGGTAACCATAGAATATGTATAGTGAACACTACAACAGGAAAATTGGTAAAAACGTTTGGTAACCAAGGTAACAGGGATGGAGAGTTTAGCAATCCATGTGGAGTACACATTGATGAGGATGGTAACATCATTGTGTGTGATGGTGGTAATCATCGTGTTCGAGTCTTCACAAGAGAAGGTGACTATCAATATCAGTTTGGTTTGACAGCAAAGGACAATTTTACTCCATATGATGTGATAACACATGATGGACAGTTTTACGTCAGTGATTATAACAATCACGTGATTCATGTATTTGAGAAGAAAGGTAACGTACCGACTAGAGTATCGACGATTGGTGGTAAAGGCAGTGCTGATGGTCAGCTGAATAGACCATGGGGCCTGGCTATTGATAATGACCATCATCTACTGGTGTGTGATATTGGTAATAACCGCGTACAAAAATTCACATTGGATGGTCGTTTTGTAGGAAAGACTTGTGATGTAATCAAGAACCCTACATATATAACTGTTTTAAAGGATGGTCAGTTATTAGTTAGTACGTATGGTTCTGGTGTCTGGTGTGTAAAGTAGAATTGTCTGATCTATTATTAATGTCTATATATAACCATCATTATACTCATAACAATATTGATCAATAAGTTATATCTTATAATATTTTTACAATTGTCTATTATCAATGTCTATATATAACTATCATCATACTCGTAACATTATTGATCAATAAGTCGTATCTTATGATGTTGGTTGTTGTGTCACAACATCAGACAATCAGATATCGCAACTACTATCAAATTATCCAAGCCAATGTGTAGTTTTCTTTTATAATTGTGCTACATTCACAAGCAGAAACTTTTTGCAGCGCGCGTTAAAGTGAGCGGGAAAACATCGGAAGTGAGGTCATCGAATTCTTCACCTGTGAGAATATCTAAATTATCTCAGTGAAAAATACGGGTGGCGTATTTTCCAGTAAAACACAAGTGTCTATATAATAAACTTAAATATAAGCATCTGGTAAAGGAGACGTAACAATTCACCTTTTGGTTTGGCAGGAAGCATTCTTTGATTATCTCCATAAGTGAATTCGCAACCACAAGGAAACTCAAACAGCGAACCATTCTCGCGGTCACCCAGGATAACTGTGATCGAGTAATACCCTAGGTATGTGTTAAAAACGTTGTATGGAATCTCAATTTGCCTTATCGCACAGTGATAAAATTCATAGTTTGTTGAAAATGCTTGCGCTGTGCTTATGTCAATGAATTTCCCAGTGAGGGCGTTCACTCTTATGTTGCGCTTGTGCTTATGTGCTAACCAACATCGGGATATCAGAAGCATGTTAGAAAATGTAGATACGAAAATTGCAGCCAAGGTTAAGAAGCTGATAAGGATCCTTTAAAAATATTAATGCCTATTGCCAAAATTAGTTCATATAATTTAAGAAG